AGAGAGAAAAGAAAGGGGGTGGGTGCATCCCACCACAGTACTCCTGAGCTGTGGGTGCAAACATACTTTGCAGATCACCTCAATAAATCATTCGGGTCATGCTTATGTTTTGCAGATGATGATGGGTGTGTGAAGAGTTTTGGCAAATTCTTCCACCAACTATTTTTCTTTAAAGTGAGATGGCTTAAGACTGACGTCCCTCTGGTCTCCAGAGCTGGTGCCACCAGGGTACTGCAGCTCAGCTCTGCCTCTGAGGTCAGGCTGCCTTAAAGCAGAGAGCCCGCTTCAGGAGGCCTCCAAGAACAAAATAAATGTTGCATGTTATAAAAGCATATTTGGAGTGTAACATCTTCCAGAATAAACTATTCTGCGCAGGGTCTTACAGGTAGGCTAGCTCAGCTCTAGAAGCAAACATCAGGAATGTGCATGGTTCAGAAACCTCCCCCTTCCCGTTCCCCCAGATTTTTAAGAATGCAAAACCTGCCAGACCTGCTGCTATGGTGGAAGATAAAATTCTACATTTTGGGGGAACGGAAAGTCACGGGACTGTAGCTAGAGTCTCTTTTTTATGGAAATCAGATTTTTGGACCACTAGGGCAAGAGCTAAGCAGCTGACAGAGTACTGCTAGAGCACGCAAAAGGCACGTAGAAATTTAATTAACTGTCAGCACCATTTCCTTCCCGACGAAACCAAGTTTTACATAGCAGCAGCTGGTTTGAGCGTAGTCTCAGGAGCCGCGAGGTGCGCTGGCTGCTTTGCATGCACCCTTGCAGGTACAGCAAGCCCCATAACGAGGTTACCCTGGCATTTTGCTCAACCTCACTCCTTCCTCTGAGGAGCAACAGCTCAGAGGCATCTGCAGCCCTGCCTCGTATTGCATAGGCATCACCGCATTGCACACCCCTCTCTGATCCCCGGGGCATGCTATTAGCTACCTGCAGGTAGAAACAGAGAGAAACCAATAAAGATGGTGCTTAGGGAAATGAAAATAAACACCTCCCTGGAATATTAGTTGTGTGTCAAACATGAACTCTGTGCAAACCTGAGAAAAGCAGCTGTGCTCTGGGGGAACAGGTGTGGGAGAAGACCCATGGCAGGGCAGCTTTGGTGAGTTTCTGCAGTACAGAGAGCTCTTATCCCAACCCAAGATGCTCTGGAAATGCAATATGGGCTCAAGGCCCCTTCCAGAATAAATGGCCTCTAACTTTAGACTCTGGACAGTCAATATTGTCCTGCAATGAAGGAGGATCCTCTGAACCATTTCTTCTCACAAGCCATTCAGTCCCAACTCTGCACCTTGACCACCAATGAATGCTACATACCTCTGGGGGCACCTGCAAGGAGAAAAGAAGAGAATTATTTGCTTGTTGAATGGCAGCTCCAGGGCTATTTCTTTTCACCACTAGTTAGCAGGTACATCCATACTTTTGGAAAAAAAAAAGAGTCAGCTCAAGGGGGAAGGTGAGCGTCGAGCCCACGTCACCCAACGCTGACTGCTGGCTCAGCTCAAGGGGGAAGGTGAGCATCGAGCCCACGTCACCCAACGCTGACTGCTGGCTCAGCTCAAGGGGGAAGGTGAGCATCGAGCCCACGTCACCCAACGCTGACTGCTGGCTCAGCTCAAGGGGGAAGGTGAGCATCGAGCCCACGTCACCCAACGCTGACTGCTGGCTCAGGTCTGGACTCCATCCTGGAGACAGGTGGGGCTCACCCCGAGCAGCACCAGCACAGCCTGGCACAGACGCAGCCAGGCTGGTCGTGGTTTCCTGCTGGCCCTCTACCCTCCTGCCTACTGTGATATTTTTTGTAGACTCAGTTTCTCTATTTCTTTCCACCTCTCCTTCACCCTCCCACCCCTCTGACCTCTCCCACTATCAGGAGAGGAGGCAGGGGCTGAGCAAGACAATAATGCAGTTTTCTGTTTCCTTATGGGTTCAAGGGACCTAGCTCTGCTTTAAAACTTATTTGCCTACAGGGACCAGATTCTTTGACAACCTTTTCCAAATCTGGGATTATTGAGAAAGCAAGCAGTTGCACATATTGCCTGTGGTTACAGAGCAACCCGCAGGCAAGACTATTATTCCTGTTTTCACTGCCAGTTAACCACCATGCTTTGCAGCTCTGAACAAAATGTCCTGCTTAAGGAGTTACCATAGCCACATCTCTGACCCTTTATTCAGCAGAATGCGTTTTGCAGGTGTTTTGGCTGGTTCTGCTGCTGGGTTTACACTCCCCAAGCTAGTGCAGGTGTCCCAGCTGGCGTGACCCCCCTACCACAGCTGCTCTCATTCTGCTGCCTTTCACCACAGCCTGACAAACAAAGGTCAGACTGGATTTCTGCCCTTTTATTTTGTTTTATTTTTAAATACTTCTTCTGCTCCTCCATCCAGAAGCACAGAATACTATCGGTGGGAAGGGACCTCTGTAGGTCATCTGGTCCAACCCCCTAATCAAAGCAAGGCCAATATCAAAGTTAATGAGGTTGCTCAGGACCTCATCCAGCCTAGGTCTGAATATCTCCAGGAACGCAGATTCCATCATCTCTCCAAGTACCTGTCCCTGTGCTTGACCACTGTTTTTGTGGAGGATAATTTTCTAAACATCTAAGTGGAATTTTCCTTGCTGCTGCTGGTGTCTCACTCAACCCAGCTGAGTTTTGACAGAAAGCCCAGTCTGAGAGCTGCATGACCCCATTTATAGGGCGCATGAGTTTTCCTTTTCCTCCCATGCACCCCTACTGCCTTACTTGCCTCATAAATCGCAAAGCCGATGGTGTGCATGTCCTCTCCCATCTTCCTCTGCTTCCGCCGGTGCTTCTGAATCAGGCCAACGAGGAAAGTGCAGCCCCTCTCAGGATCATCAGGATCCTCATCATCTTCCTCCAGCTTGATTAAATACTGTGGATTCGTCCAGAAAGTGTCTGGGAATTGGATTTATGCAAACCGCTCAGAGGCTTCTTTTGAAAGCAGCCATGCTGATACATACATGTCAGCTAGGACAGATGCGTCTCTGACTTCCGAAAATCAGCTGTAAGAAGGAAAAGCTAACACTCCCTCCCAGCCTTTACAAGCACAACTAGACCCTCATTGGGGAACCACACTTCCCAAACACTTGCACTTTTTGGATATCAGTCTTGGATATCCCAGGTACATCCTCCTCCTCCATAGGCTACCCCAAACCAGCTTCCAGAAGAAGCTCCCAGAGAAAGTGCAAGTGGACAAGTAAAGGGTTTCTCCAGTTTCTCTTACTTGGGTAATTCCTGCAGCCCCCTGCAGTGGCTCCTCGCCTCCAGTTCCCATCCAGCTTCAGCAGGCTCCACTTCTTGTACCTGTCACTTGCCAGTGTGTCTGGAGTCAGGTTGCAGATCTCCAGGCGGGAGTAATGTCTCAAGAAGTCATTGAACGCCATCCTGTGGGAAGCAATGCCGCAGACAATGTCTCCTCAGAACAGATGGGTTTTCTATATAACCACCTTGTCTATCCTCCTCCCTCTCTCCCTCTGCAGTTTAGCACTAGGATCTGGGGCGAATTTGCTCACTCACCTTGGAGAGTGTACTGGGAGAGGTTACTTTGTGTGAAAAAAGCAGAGAAGACATTCCCTTCAGCCTGAATGGAAACCCAGTGGATACTTACCAAAATTCCCCATCTTCATGCCTCCTGGTCAGGCGCTCCCGCACCTCAGGGTCAACACCACTCCAGTTTGGGCAGCTGAAAGATAACCCCACATCAAATACAGGTTATAGTAAAGGTTAAACCCTCATGTAGCTGTTCTGGCACAACGATTTCACTTTCTTACAGCTCCACACAATTGCAATACTCCACAATATTTAGCTGATAGCAGCTCCAAGGCTCTCAAACCATAACAGAATTAAAACACAGGGACCTGGGATACCTCACTTCTTAAATATTCAAGGTAAGTATCAGAAACAGAGTTTTATTTGCAGAAAGTGCTAACGCCTTGACTGAGACAGAGCTCTATTTTAGAAAAAGCAAGACCTAGAATAAATACTGCCCAGCCACAGAAGTGAGTAAACTGTTTACCAGGAAGAAAACAGAAAGCTAGTTTCATTGCTAACAACAGAAACAGATTTTTAAAGCCCTTTTAGAAAGTGAGTTTTCAGAAGCTCACCACTGAACCTGGGCTGTTAAAGAAGCAGAAACTACAGAGAGACTTGTAGGAACCACCAACCAAATCACTGCACCTTACACAAAGGCAGGTGTTTGTATGAAGGACACTGCATACTGTGACACCTATGTGGGAGATGACAGTGGAGGGATGCTTGTTTTAAACAGCTCAGAGCAAGCACCACATCCAGATGTGACTTAGAGAAGAATTTGAGGTAGGGAGAAGACAGGCGAGAGCAGAAACACGATCATACCCCTGCAGTGAAAGCCTACAAGGCAAAACACAAGCCATCGACTCACTTGTCATTCCACCTTCCGGTCCACTCCACTTCCCCCCAGGGATTTCGGATTCTGATCAGCTTCTGCACTGTTCCTCGGAAGTTCACCTGATGGGATCAGAATTGTATGGAGAGTTACCCAGGGAGTCAGCACTGTGCTCCCTTCCACCTTTTCTATGGGAATTAAAGGACACGACAGAGTAAGTATCTCAGTGCCCCACAAACACTAAAATGTATATACACAAAAACATGCATCATCTGGTCCAAAAGACATGAAGTCAAACTGATTTTGAATGAGCTCCATGCACCCAAATTTGTCCAGAGAAGGCTTCTGTGGAATCAAAGCTCACAATAACCAAAATGTCTGTTTTGTGCCGCTAAAAAAGTTACCACTGATAGGATTTCACACAAAGGGAACGTAAAGCTGGTACAGGGCTGCCAAAAAGCAGGTACGAGGGGATATTTCTCTAAAGCTGTCATCTATGTATAAACTGCCCTTTCACATTCAAATGCCTTTTTCCCCTCCCTATATATATACTGAACTGCATGTATTACAAGAGACGGGATACTCAGTCTGGCCGCAAGCCTTTTGACCACACGAATGCCCCGCGGCGCAGCAGCGTCAGCCCTGCCACGACAGCACCTCCTTGCACTGCCCCGAGGCCCTGGCTTTTTCTCTGCTGATCTCTGTGTACGCAGAGTCCAGGCCAAGCAAAACTGTACAAGTTTCAATGGGAACACCAAGTATTTATGGGGAACACACGGCACTAATTTGAGGAAGGAGCTGGTGCACCTCTAGAGCCCGAAGCCAAGAAAACTGCACAGAGCATCAGCAGCACAGAGTCCAGAAATGATGCTCCAGTTCTGAAGATGAACTGTCCTTACAAAGCCTGCACATATCTCCAAAGGAAATGCCTGGCTAAATCGTGCCTATTTGTCAATTAAGGTCAAACTCCCTCTTCACTGCTTTTGCTGTAAAAGAAGGACCAAATACAAGCACATAAACCTGCCAGTTAGCAGCGTCCACCTCAGCACAGCATGTCAGCAGCTCTCTACACCTCACTCTGGAGTTTCAGAGATTATTTCAGAAATAAATTATCAGTGAAGTGACCGAAAGTCCATTACACACCTGGAAGGATGCCATGATCTGCTTCTTTTGTCTTCACCTGCCTTACCTTCGCCAGTCACCTGCTCTTGGACACGCACCTTGCGTTTGAACACTGCACCCTGCTGAAAGGCGCTGTTTGGCAGGCATTTAAGGGACAATAATTTTTTTTTTTTTGGCTTGGCACACGTCTCTCGCACATCTTGGTCTGTATTTAAGGTACAGTGCTGCCTGCTATATAGAAATGTGTTGAGGGCCTGGTCACCAGCAGAGGGTAGTGTGCCCTTTGCACAGGGCTTCCCACCACCCACTCACTGGGAAAGAGCAGTGCTTATGGAAAAAAAAAAAGGTTTTTTTGGTCAAAACCCCAAGAAGTCAAGTTTGTGTTTATCCAAAACACAGCAACTAATTCAGTATTTCTTCAGAAAGGAAGGATTCAAAACCTGACTCGGCAAAATGGGTGAGACTGGAGAATTTGCAACACTGAAGATGAATTTGCAGCTGCCACGGCCCAGGCCACACACAAAGCTCGCTGCATTTCATGGCGTACCTACCTCCTCTGCCCCGGTGACCGAGTATGCGTGTCCCTTTACCAGCTTCTGGGAAGTGACTGCCTCCGTCTCTGCCGCACTAGTGATCTGGAGGAGCAAAGCAGCTTGGTGAGCATGGCTTCCCATGTGGCAGGGGATCCAACAGAGCAAAACTTCCCCTTCTAATGGAGCTTTAGTCTGGCTGGGAGGCTGCAGGGGTGGTTTAGCTGCTGCACAGAGGCAACAAGAGAGATCTGTGTGACAGAGCGGGGAGGGGGGACGGCAGCACATGTGGCAGTACTGGAGCCCCCGGAGCCCGAGTTCGTGGCACAGGGTGCATGCCAGAAGCCCTGCACCGCAGCAAAGCTCCCTCCTGGCTCCGAAACGCTTGGTGCAGCGCACCACCTCTTGCGCATCTCCAAATGCTGTACAAAGGGAGTACACACAATGAACTCCATGTTCTCAAGGGACCAGGAGGAACACAGGGGATGACTGGCCTGAGGTTGCCCAGGCTATCACCAAGGATCACACCCAGCAACCCCAGTGCTTTGCTTTGAGGTCAAAACACCCCCTTCAGCTCCACAGTAGGGTAGAAGGTTCCCCTTCCTTTCCCCAGCACCACCACCCTAGGACCTGCCATGCAGGAGGGCAAGGGAAAAGGCTGCACTTTGGATGCCATTTGTACCTGAAGGCATATCACCCTCTCACTTTTTCATGGCCACTGCAATACTCGGGCAGTCTGGCCTATAAACACTGCAGAGAAAAAACACTTGCTAGAAAGTGACTGCTCAACATCTTAGAATCATAGAATTGTTTAGGTTGGAAAAGACCTTTAAGATCATTCAGTCCAACCATTAAGCTAACACTACCAAAGCCACCACTAAACCAGTTGAGGGTAGAGTAGTAATTTCATGTTTCCTGGTTTGGTGGCTGGATTATTTTTTAATGAAAGTAAAAACTAGGAATCATTAAGTTTGGAAAGGATCTCTAAGATCATCAGTCCAACCATCAACCCAACACCACCATGCCTACTAAACCATGTCCCAAAGTGCCACGTCTACCCGTTTTTTGGTCTAAAGATGCTTAAACCTCTATGAAATGTATGGTTGCCATTGCCTTCCCACCATTTCAGAAAGTATGCGACCTTTAAACAAGCATATTTGAAGCTTAAAATAAAAAGAGGGTGGGATCAAGCAGGCAGGATGCCTGCTGTCAATTCATGCCCTATTACTACCTGCAGTGCGCTCCCCATGTAATGTTTAACCTCTGTGTCCCCATTTCTCTGACAGAAGAGAAGAAAAGATTTTACAGGACTTTTCAAAGCCTACACTCACTAATAATTAGTTTATAATACAGAAAGTGTCAGCACTTACCAACAAAGGAATATATTTACTCCCCCCCACCCCTGACAAGATCTGTATCATTCTGGGGCAAAAATCCAGACGTCAGATTCTTATGTAAATGGAAACAAGTAAAACAGGCCTCGAAAGTGCTGCGAAGCCGCACGCTGACATTAACCAAGTACTTTTCCTGCTGTGAAGCTTCCCTCTCCTGAGACTCTGATTTAATTTTAAAAATGGGAGGAAACACTTGAGTTTATATTATGAACAGGGTCCTTGTAAATGGTTTACCTTCCCTTTAGACATAACTAAGATGTAATCTCCTTTGGCAGCAGGGCGATTATCACAATAACCATACTTTATATACATACAATAACCAGACTCATTTCAGTAAGGCCAAAAGCAATGCTGAACCCCTGCAGGCAGGGCCAAAGCTCCTCTTTTCCTTTTTGTGCAGGTTCAGCTTTTGGCAACGTGTTTTCCAATAAAGCGTTTTAAAGGCCTGGCAACAGTCTGAGCCTCCCTGCTTCAAAAATAGAGCCCAGATTTTGGGGGGGGGTTTGGTACGATTTGTGTGACAAACAGGCTATAGCAAGAATGGAGGCTGCCACCTCGAGCATTTGACAGCAGCAGCTATTAGCAGCAGCTTTCTGTCCAAACCCACTCAGCCTGTACCAACCTGCTGCCAAGCTACGGGTTTTCTTAAGAACAAAGATATAGATCAGGACCCCTAATGAGTTCTCTGTACGATTTGTTACCATTAATCTATGAAACAGCAAAAGCTCTAGGTCTTGAAGAAAAGAAACCAAGGGAGGCAATGAGCTTTTACACGTGAACTAATGAAGTCTACATTTCAACCTGTTCTCAGACATAACCCCCCAAGAAGAGCATCCACCTGTGTCACACTCTTGGGTCAAATTCTCCAGGCACAAGGCAGAGCAGAGAACTGTAGGCAGAGGGGACCAACATCCTTTGTGCACCTCCTGTGGATGGAGCACAGGTCCATCCCCCAGCTGCCTGCCCACATAGCGAGAGCCGAGTGTCTAGCAATAAGCCTGCTAACTCACATCAATGGAGCAGCCAAGGAGAGAGCCTTTCTGAAGTGCCTTCTGGATGATTTTGAAGAGGTTAGGTGGTGCCTTCTGCAGCTCATACCATTCTGCAATTCCACCGGTGAAGTCCTCAAAGCCTTCAGTGGTGGTGCCACCGGAGAGACACTCGTACGAGCCGTTCAGCCTGCACAAGAGGACACACACAACCATCAGGGTCCCTATTCTCCTCCTTCTCTTGGAGAGAGGCACTGAGTTGTGCCAACTGCCACAGCGTTTCTGCTTTCAACAGCACCACAGCAGAACAATCACAGCAGAACCACTACTACAAACACACCCCATTCAGGTTTGCTTCTTATACCTCTGCACTAAGAAAGCCCAGCATAAAATCTAATATGATCACGTATACAGGTTGCAGGTCCAGTCACAGCAATGACAAAAGTCATGGACACTATTTGAAGAGGCAGGGGGAAGGGGTGTGCGTGGAAATCAAGACGCAACAATTTGCCTCTCTAGTTCCACACAGTCTTTCAATTCTTTTAACAATTACAGGTCTAATTTTCAGCTGACCTACATTAGCTCAATTTCTTCAATTTCAATTGAAAATAGTAATGTTAGATGGCAGAATTCCTCCCTGGCCATCACCAAACTGGAAATTCAGATTTGAGCATCTTCACCTTGAACAGAGACCTGGGTGTGTGGACTGAAGCACTGCAGCTGCAAGCCCTCACAAGTGCATAGAGCACATGAAACGGAACTTCCCAGGCCTCGGTGACAGGAGACAGCACTCTAGGAACAGCCTTGCCATGAGATGCAAGGGCTATTTTTCTTGGCTAGCAGCAAAGACAGTACTTTTGGCTACTTAAGCACCTGTCGGCAAAGCTTTGCGAAAGCTGTCACTGTGGGATACCCTAGAATTTGTAAAAGCTCATTATTAGACTGACATTTTAAATGTGTAGTATCCATGCAGTTGAGGATGCTATGGGGAAGGAGAGGCATGAGGAGATTTGAGTGGGGTAAAAGCAGTCTCTCTTGTCCTAGGAGGGTTGCCCTGGCCTCGACTCACTTGGCATAGGCCTTTTCCAGCAGCGCGCTCCAGAACTCACTGCCCTCCGCCGAGTGCACGAAGAGCAGCTCCCCATTCTTGGTGGGCAGCCTGTCGTCCACCACAACGTCCACCCACTCCCCATACTGCCAGAACTGGAAAGAGAGCATGAACACCTTGTCACCGCCCCATGCTGTGCATGCAGGTCACCAGGACGTTTATCTGCTAACACCAGTTTCCTAGAGGAAAAGCAATCCCCCTCGCAGTCAGGGACATCCTCAGCTGGATCTGCTGATGGAGGAAGGACCACAAAGACAGCCCCTGCTCCCAGCTCTTTGGTTAGCGGTCTTTTTCCTTCCACCACCATCACCCTTCTTGGATGTTTCTGTTTTTCTGCCTGGCTCTTTGACATCCCTCAAAGCGTTCCAGGAAGAACCACACATCTAGAAATGGCCAGCCACGCTGGCTCCTGGCCAACAGCACTGGGGGGAAGGCTGTTTTCCACCTACCTGGAAGTGGAAAATTCCTGCATATTTATCCTGGAAGCTCTGGTCTTTGGGAACAACACGGGCCAGAATTTCTTCATTCAGGGTGAGAGAGGCAATAGCGGCCAAGAGCCAACAGTCCCCTGTTAAAAAAAAAGTAGTTCATTATTGAAACTTTGCTCTTTATATTTTGTACTGCATAGGGATTGTGCATTATAACTGATAATCACCTCAGCTGTGATGAGATAGTCCCTCCCATCACTTTACCTCTAAGGCAGATCAAATGCATGTACATGAACACATACCATTTCCAGGCAGGTGTTGCATTTCCTCAAGACCAAAGTAATAAAAGAAAAGTAAAAGCAGGCTTTTTATGATCTACCAGCACAATTATCATCCATGCTGGGACAATCTGAAAGAAAACTTAATAGTCAACTGAGTCTCTACAGGTTAGGAAGCAACACAGGGAAAAGGCAAAAAGGGCACACGCAGGTACTCAGGGGTGCAGTTTCTCCTCAAAAGGCCAGTGTTTTCTCAAGCATAGGCTGTTTTCCTTACCCTCCTCCATGTTTAATAAACGCCTGTTGGCTTGCCCTCCAGAGGCCTACCCTACGGACGAGCTGCCTTTAAGGTCTCTTGCCGGCCTCCTACCAAACAGGAGCTCCTTTCACCTTCCATCTCTGGAGGCTCTTGCTAGAGGCCTCTCTGTTTAGTCCCAGATCTCGTCTCTGGCGCTAGTCACCAGACGGTCAGGAAAGGTCTGAAGGCAGGCACTGTTCCCCAGTCCCGCACACCTCTTCACCCTTCCTGGGATGGAGCCAACATACACCGAGCCGGCACGCCAGAGTCCCAGGGCCCAGGTTGCCTGGATAGGATTTTTCCACACCATCCTACCAAGCAGAAGGATGAGACGACCACAACTATATAAACATTACCTCTATTTTTTGTAATTATTTTCAGAAACCGGTGTTACTTTAACAGAGTGGTTACCTTACTGCTCAGCCATGCGTTTTCTGCAGCCCATTAGCAAAGTGATTAGAGATTTAAAGACCCAGCTGACCCCCTGACTCCCACAACCCAACACAAAACTCCTTGTTACCATTACCAGATCTGCTGTTGCCTTGCTTTGTGAACACAGGAAAGTCGGTATTACACACCAGGTCCCACAGAACGGTCCTGCAGCGTGTGTAGGATCGTAGGTTCAAGAAACATGAACCAGCCACAGCTGCTAGCAAGCCAGAGGCCAGCAAAGTAGCGGTCTCTATACAGCCAGCTCTCTCCTAGAGGAAAAGGGTCAAAAGCTCACAGGTGAGAAGCTGGAGTTCAAACGGGCAGCTGGGAGAAGCGTCAGGGAGAAGCAGCTCCTGGTCACCCTCAAGCTCAAACCCAGCACCACTGAGCGCAAGGAGGAACCCAGGCAACCTGCAGCTCCCTCCAGGGCGCCCATCGCTTTTCACAGCTGATGCCCAGCAGCAGCTCTGTGAATGACATTTGTCCCATGGTCCTTTTCACATCTCATGAAAGGTGGAAGATGTGGAATTTCAGAATAATTTCCAAACCTGAGATGCTTTTACTATTTCATAACCCAGAGGGGAAGAACCGAACATAAACCTTTCCCTTCAGCCCTGCCTCTGGCTGCTTGCACTCCAATGGAGAAACCGTCATGTCAGAGAAATTTTTCAAATAGGAAAGTCACCTTCTCATTCTCCTGTGACAGATTATGAAGAAAACAAGGATGTTCCCCTCCCTCCTCTGCAACAACGCATCCATCTCACCCTGCAAAATGGCAACTCTTCTTACAGCCTCCCTTGTAGCATTGAGACTCTCTTCCCTGGGAGCTGTGCACCCTCTGATGTCGTGGTGCATTCAGAGGCACCACCAAGCACAGCAAACGTGCTTGCTGGGAAAGAGACGGCGGTCAGAAGATACTAAGAGACATTTTTAGATTCAACTTCAGCTCAGCTTAGATCTGTGCTCTCCCATACACAGCCTGCCTGCACAAAGTCATTTTTGTGGGTTTTTTTTGGTGGGGTTTTTTGGGGGTGTTTTTGTTTTTGTTTTTTTTTACCAAAGGAGACTTCAGACAAACCTGGCAACATGGTAAGCACTTGGGAGAGACTGCCCATAGATCCCTCTTGCTGAGGATCCCTGTTTTTATTAAATCTCCAAAACAGGTAGTTTCTGAACAAGAGTTGAGGTTCTTCAAGTCCAAGGGACAACTCCCTTCTAGAGAACAGCCCTGGCACTTTGACCGGAGCTCTTGTGGGGTAAGGCTGAATTAATATCTTATAGTCTCCACTCCTTCCTCCTTAACTTGTTTTTCTCCCACTGGTACTCATCCCACAGCAAGTTAGTTCATTAACAAAACAGTCTTTCTGTTGTCTTACTGAGTTAAAGGAGGCTACAGCTTGTGACAGGGTTCTTATGGATCAGGAGAGCAGTAGGTTATTAAGTATTTGGCAGCAGAAATATCAAATGCCAGAAACTTTGTGGGAGAAGAGTATGAATGTAAATATATATGTGCACTGGACCAGCACAGGAGAGCTGAGTGCTCTCCATCAACACCCCAGCACTGCACATGGGCAGATAACCCTTGGCCTCCCCCACAAATATTCTTCTAGCACCCATGAGCCACTGGCTCATAGGTGTTTTTAAGATCAACAAAATCCTAAAAGAAGGAAAAGAGTGGGGATCTCCATTCTCCCTGCTGTGCTACCATCCCTCCAGCAGGAGCAATCATTCACACCCAGGAAAAGTTAGCAAGCCTTAATAAGACTTTTAACTTCTAACAAACAGGCAATCTCAAAGCATCCTGGACATTAGGAACAGGCATGAAAGAAGTCACAAATACACAAATTGATAGGTTAACCGGTCTGATCTCAGCCAGAGGCCAAATAACTGATAACCCAGAGCAGAACAACCCTGGCACACATCCCAGGCTCTGCAAGGCTTTTACAGACAGACATGCACAACTCAGAGGTGAAGTGAGTCTCTGGCATCTTAAGACCTACGCTAGCTAGACTAAAGCCAGCACAGGTATGCTTACCTAGACTACTAGGATGCCTTCACGTGGTTAGGCAGATACATGCTCTTATTCAGACTAAATTAGATAAACCCAGAGAGAGAGAGCAACTCAGCCTGCTCAGCACCGCTGTGCTAGTCCTAGGGCACAGCTGGGTAAAACCAGGCAGCTCCTGGGCTCTACGACGAAGATGCAGGCAGAGCTGAAGGCACTTTGTGCATGCTTTATTGGGTGGGTGGAAACAGCTGCAGGCATGTCCTACTTGTTCGCAGTCAGCTGTGAAGGTGTTTTTCCTCTCAATTGCTCAACCTGCAGCATAAACCAGAGTTCACGTGGCATGGCCTTACTCGATCAGGCAAGCTCGACTGCTCCAAGAGACCCACAGAGTATTTGACATTGGGTTACTACCCTCAGAAAAACTGTGCTGCTATAAAATAGTAACAATACTGGCTCAGAGAGCAGCTGTCCCATCACTCTTCCAAAGAAACATAAGCATTTCTATTCCATAAACAAGGCAGGGGCTGGGCAGGCAGAAAGCAGCACAGAAAGAGTAAGTGAACAACTCAACATGACCACAGTAGCTCAGGAAGCCTTGGTTATGAAGCTGGTCAGGCATCTAGATGAAGAGCAAACACCCTTCAATGCTACAATACATCTTTGAGTCAGGTTTCCTCTGTAGACAAGAAGCACTGAAGTTCACGGAAGAGAAACTCCCCCCAGAGGATCTCTAATCCCATAGGCAGAGTTTATAAAGAACTTCCTTTACTTTCTAGCTGTCCCATCAAGGCAGATGTGAAGAGAAAGAAACAGCAGACTTTGTTGTAAAACCCCTCTGTTGAACTTTATACTGGTTTCTAAGGAGAATTTGGAGTCAGACAAAGATAGATCTTAACTCGGACAACTCTGGGCAAGGCCTTCTTGAGGTTAAAAGGCAGATGCAGCATATATGGGAGACACACTACCCCTTGGTTTCCACATGTAAAAGTGCTCCACAGTCAGGATTATCACCTCTCCCTCTCTCAACAGTCATCACTAAAAGTAGACCTGATAATTCAAAGCCTGGATGAGAACAGATCTTGTGACAGTACCTGGAGTTTAAGCCTGCACTTAGTAAACCTGAGCAGGGTCTTTACCAAACAGTCTTAACTAAAAGAACAGGTACTTTTGTAAAGCTCTTGACAGTGACTTTCCTTTGATAGACAAAGAAAGTCTGAGAGACTTGAGCCAAGTGCCGGGTCCTGC